CGGAACGATTGGATGACAACTTGAGTTCAAGAAGTCTGACCTTGTGCTTAAATGTTGCAATCCATCAGTTTGGATTAAAAAAGTCAAATAATGAACTTGTTGACTTGTAGAAATTTTATGCTTAAACGTTTTTGTTTTAATTTCCTGCAGGATATCTATTAGCCAAGTCTATCAGTATCTTTTGCCTAATCAACCGAACAGTGGTAAGAAGATTTATATGTCTTTCAATACTTCATCAGGTAATCGAGTTTATCAAGGATCTCCGATAAATTGATATTTTCGAACATGCATCAGTAAATTATTTTTCATTTTCATGGTATCACACTTGTGACAATTGTTTGTGCATGATAGCCAAAGTAATTATGATATTTTCTTAATATGTGTTGAGATGTCTTGAATCCGTGGACTTCTTATGTCAGCCCATCAGTCTAGTCGCGCTACGAATAATCCATCAGGTTATGTATTGGGTTTTATTACTTGGGCTCAAATCTATTATTTAGCACATAGGGTTTTCTAGAGTGCTATATAAACTCCTTCTGATGTAATTTGTATTCTATCGCCTCACAATATAATAAATCGCTCTCTCTTTGCCCGTGGATGTAGCTAACACAACGCTAGTGAACCACGTAAATCTGTGTCTTCAATCTTTACTTTCTTGTTATTTTTCTCGCATCCGTTCCAACAAACTGGTATCAGAGCTCGGTTTCGAATCTGGCGAGAAAGATGTCTGGTGCTTTGAACGTGAAGATCGATAAGTTCAATGGGAGAAACTGTTTCAGTTTATGGCAGATCAAGATGCGTGCTTTGCTAAAACAGCAAGGCCTCTGGGCACTGCTTTCGAAGGGATATTCAAAAGCAACTGATGATGATGAGATCGCCGTTCTCGAGGAGAAGGCGCATTCAACCATCATGCTGATACTATTCAATGAAGTCATCACAGAAGTTGCCAATGAGGATACTGTCGCTGGTTTGTGGTTGAAGTTGGAGAGTCTTTACATGATGAAATCTTTAACCAATAAGTTGTTTATGAAACAACGTTTGTTCAGTCTCCGTATGCAAGAAGATACGCCCCTTAAGGATCACTTAGATGAATTGAATACGATTTTACACGAATTGTGAAATATCGATGTTAAAATCGATGATGAGGATGCTGTGTTGATTCTGTTGGTATCTTTACTCTTGTTATATGAGAATTTTGTGCAATCTTTTATTGTTGGGAAAGATTATGTCTCTCTAGAAGAAGTTAGGTCATCACTTCATTCTAGAGAATTACGTCATAAGGCTGCTGGTGGAGTTACAAATCAATCTACTTGGTTAGTGGCTACTGCTGGGAAAGGTCAATAAAAGCTGACAAAAAGAGAAATAAGAAAAATTCGAAATCAAAGGGTCCTAAGCTCGAAGATATGTGTAACTATTGTAAGGAACCTGGACACTGGAAGAATGATTGCCCTAAGAAGAAGAAACAGTAGGAAAAGAAACAAGCTTCTGCTGTTATTGCATAAGACACCAATTTGAAGGATGATCTGGCCTTGGTTATCGACGAACAGTTACATCCAGTCAATAATTAGGTTCTGGATTCTGGATGCTTATTGTTCGGGGGAAAAGTGAAGAAGAAAATTAAGAATAAAATTATGTATTAATCTCCCTAACTGACTTAGAAAAATAATGAATACAATCTCTCACTGTAATTTCTCTCTAACTGATTTAGAAAAAGAAATTATAACTTTTCTTATCGATTTCCCGATTTACAAAAGAGAGAATCGACGAAAATCCTTCTCTTTGTTTAAAGCTGAGTTTTTCTTGGTGTCGATGGGAGCTTGATTCTTGTATTTCGTTGACGATTCAAATGCTTCACCTCGTGGAACTTGGTTGATTCTTCTTGATGGGAAGAACTTGCAATGTAAGTTTGGAACTCTTAACGAGTTTAGAACTGTGGGCGAGTTAAGGAACTCAAAATGAGTTTAGAACTCTGTAAAAGAGTTAATTTGATCTAACCGAAACTCGGTTCACAAACCAAGGGTAAAAGCTCCAAGAATTGCTCCATGATCCGAAATCTCCAAGATCTGAGGCCAAAGAAAGCTAACTCCGATCTCTAAAAGTGATCTACTCAAAGATCTCCCAAAAAGATCCGCTCAAAGATCTAAAGAATCCGCTCTAAGGTCTCCAAAAGAAAAGGCCCCGATTTAAGTTGATCTTTTAGCTATTTACAGGGGATTAAGGGGTGTAACTAACCCCCTAAAATCGCTCCTTAGTGGGGTGTAATCCCTCTCGAATCATGGGAAACGATTTTGGAACCGCTCAGCTCGTGTTTGAACGAGTCAAACACGAAATTCGCGTTCTGGGCATGAACTCTGCGTCTTGAACTTGAGACGCGGAGTTGAGCTCTGCGTTTGGATCTGAAATGAAATAATGAGCTCTACGTTTTAACTCTGGAACGTAACGATGAGCTCTGCTTTTTGAGTCTGGAACGCAACGATGAGCTCTGCGTTTTGAGCTTGGAGCACGGGAATGACCTCCGCGTTTGGGCTTGAAGAGGTCACCAATTGTAATATCTTTTCTCAAGTTTTGCAAAGATCGTCATCTTGTAATCCTTGCATTCGGCTCTTTGAAATGTGAGAGTTGTCGACTTGTAACTCTCATATATTCTGAAAGTCGTCAAATTATAACTTTCATCATTGATATTTGACGGGGATCAACTATCCGTCGTAATTTTTAGACAGCCTACAGACTCAAATGAATTTTCGAAATACTTTGGATCTCGATTTCTATATTGGAGTTGTTGATTCCTTGTTGAAAAGGGGTTGTTCCCTACATCCGTTTCGAAGGCATCTTGGTTGGAGATATTTGCCACGTAAGACCCGTGCGAGGGTGAGTGACATGCTTTAACTCTTGAAACGTGGGGTGAGCCTCGCATTTTGGCTTCAACCTGAGAGCATTGCAAGACCTTGAGCTCGTCGATCTCAAAGCTCAGACTGAATCGACTTTTGTTGATACTCAAGCCAACGCAGCACGTCGACAAGAAGTCGTTCAAAAGAGCTTGGCTGGGAAGGAGGCTCATATTACAATTTTGTAGAAGCAGCATGATCAAATACAAGTTGAGTTGACCAATTCCACTACTATCGTGCATACCACTCAAGAAGCGATCGCTCAAACGAAAGAAACTATCGCTCATCTACAAGCGGACTTGGCTCAAAAAGAAGCTCAGATCGAGTTGATATGAAAGAAATCCACCTAAAGAGTACAGAAATCTTCACAGATCACTGCAAGGAGGTGCAAACTCTTGAAGAAGTCAAGAAGGAGGTTGTTGCAGCACCGAATGAAGGTGAGCTCTAAAGGGAAGCTGCGGCGACGGTACGAGCTACTCATGAGGAGAAACTCTCAGACGTCAAGTCTTGGCTCACATCCATTAAGCTGATGGGCCTGCAAACTTAACTCTCTGTATCGTTCTTTTAATAAGAACAATTTTGTATCACTTCTTAATAAAAAGTGATAATGTTTTGGTTTTTCGTCGTTTCTTCTTGTGTTATGATTTCACTTGAAACACTGAAAGAAAATTGAAAGTGCCCTGAAAGAAAATTGAAAGTGCCAGAGGTGTAGTATTAACTTGGCATGAGTTTGTTATGATTTGAGCAACTTTGTGGATTTATCATCCTATTGAAGAGGATTGATAAGTTGATTCCGTCAGAGGTGTGATATGAACTTGACATGATTGTGTTGCGATTTGAGCAACTTTATGAACCTATCGTTCTATTGGGAGAGTCAATAAGTTGATTTTATCGGAGAAGCGATATGAGCTGGACAAAATTGGGCACTTGTGATTTGAACAAGGTTTTGAGGACTTATCGTTCTATTGAAGAAGTCGATAAGTTAATTTTGTCAGAGGAGCGGTATGAGCTGGACAAAATCGGGTACTTGTGATATGAATAAGGTTTTTGAGGACCTATCGCTCTATTGAAGAGAGTCGATAAGTTGATTTTGTCTGAGAAGCGATATGAACTAGGCAAAATCGGGTACTTATGATTTGAATAAGTTTTTGAGGACCTACAGCTCTATTGAAGAGAGTTGATAAGTTGATTTTATCAGAGAAGCGATATGAGCTGGACAAAATCGAGTGCTTATGATTTGAACAAGATTTTAAGGACTTATCATCCTATTGATGAGGATTGATAAGTTGATTGTGATATGAGCAATTTTGAGGACTTATCATCCTATTGATAAGGATTAATAAGTTGATTGTGATATGAGCGATTTTGAGGACTTATCATCCTATTGATGATGATTGATAAGTTGATTGTGATATGAGCAATTTTGAGAACTTATCATCCTATTGATGAGGATTGATAAGTTGATTTTGATGGTGACGCACGTTAAAGTGCTTATACTGACAGAGATGTTTTGTTAACTTGACAGTTTTGAGAATTAATTATTCTGTTCGAAAAATAATAAATAATCAACTCCCAGTCTTGACTAAGACTTAGCAGGAGAAGAAGGGGGCTTTATGATTTACATGAGAATATTTCTTGAGAAATTTCTTGTTAATTGACATCATAAGGTTATCACCTTTTTGATTAATAAAACAACAAGCTCCACTTGAGTAGACTGACTCTACCATGAATGGTCATTCTCATTTGGAATTGATTCCTCTGGGAAAGGTTTTTGCAGTTGACAGAGGTGTTTTGTTGAAAATGACAACTTAGAAGATACAAATCTCATTCTGTCTTAGGAGAATCCGGTTCTAAATGGTCAGCTAAGAAATCTGTCAGGGCTTGTCCTTTAACGGCCTTTTGAGGCATAAATCGCATCTCATGTTGTGATAACAGTATGACCCATTTTGTGAGACAACCGTTCAATGAAGATGGTCTCATTATGAGCATCCAGGCGAATACCAAGGTTAGGCATTCTTTCTCCTAACTTTCCCTGACATACTTGTCCACCGTGGGTCGTCAAGTAGATTGGGATGGACCCACATTATTGCTCCTTTCGGAGTAGCAAAGGGTACTAACCTTTTATCTCTCTGACCATGTGGGTCAGCGTTTATCAGGCGTAGCTCCCTTTTAGGGATTCAAATCACACCGATTGGAGCTTGAACTGGTGGAGGACTCCCGAGTTGGACTGACACCATGTTGGTGGTCGCTGTTTTCTACCTCAGTTTCAGCTTCGAACCTGACAATAATTTCTTCAGTCTTTTCGCCTTGGGAGACAA